CAGGTCCCGGGGGTTAAGCGTGGCAGTCGCGAATTTGCTCCCACGTAGCACGCCGGCTTATTTTTAATACGCGCCACATGGCTGCATCATACACTTCCTAGTATTAATGTTTGTTTATAACGTGTCTGATGACTGTGTAATGGAGATATTCGTATTATCGTAGATGAAATGCATTATATAATACTAGTTTCCCCGCCTCTATGGGGCACCGGTTAGGCTTCATCTTGAGTCCTGGGTCCCGTTCTAGACACCACACTTTAGGAAGGATGCCAACAAACTGGAACAAGTTCAGAGGGAGGACGACGAGGAGGAGGAGGATCAGGGGGCCGGAAATCTAGGAGGAAAGGCGAAAAGAAGCTGGGCATCTTTAGCCTTGAGAAAAGAAGACTTGAGGGGTGAGAGGATAGCATTTTGCAAATATTCGAAAGGCTGTCCTACAGAGGAGGGGCAGGATCTGTTCCCGATCCTCCCAGAGTGCAGGACACGCAACAATGGGCTCAAGCTACAGGAAGCTAGATTTCCCTTGAATTATCGGGAAAAACGTCCTAACTGTTAGAGCAGTACAACAGTGGAGCTCAGGAGGTAGCTGGTGCTCCAACATTGGAGGCATTAAAGAGAAAATTAAACAGCTGTCTGTCAGATCTCCTTCGATTTGGATTCCTGCCTTGAGCAGGGGGTCGGACCGATGGCCCTTCCAACTCCACGATTCTGTGAACTAAACAGCACTTCAGTTGGGGTTTTTCTGGTTCTATTTGAGGGGGTGCAGCTAATCACTAAAATATATGTATGTGCATTTGTAAGAGTAATTTACAAGAGAATAAGACAAGCTTCTGCTTAATTAATTGCTTAAATGCTTCACTCTTACAATAACCCAGGTTTCTTGAGGGGAAGTGAGTGTATGGATACACACACGCAGACAAAAACACAGCAGCCTTCTCTCCCCTAAGGATTTCCTGCTGTTGTGTGGAATTACAGCTCTACCCTTCACACAGGCTATCCATGCACACTAGAGATAGTGCTCTCTAATTGTTAGATTGCACACTCCGTCACAAATAATCTGTAGAGCTAATGATAAGGAATGATGGGAGATGATAGCAGAGGCTGAAAATTTGTCTACCTGGATGGATGTACATGGGTTTTTCCATCTGTCCCACCCATGTTAAGTAGGAAGCCATAGACTTGCATTTGCAAGAGCTGATCATAGAATCGTCGTAGGGTTGGAAGGGCCCTTGGAGGTCTTCTAGTCCAACCCCCTGCCCGAGGCAGAAAACCTCGTACCATCCCAAACCTCATACCATCATGGACAGATGGCTGTCCAATCTTTTCTTGAAAGCCTCCAGCGATGGGGCACCCCCAACATCGGGAGGCAAGCTGTTCCACTGTTTAATAGCTCTCACTGTCACGAAATTCCTCCTTATTTCCAGGTTGGTTCTCCCTCTGAGGAGTTTCCCCCATTGGTTCTTGTCCTACCCTCAGGCACGATGGAGAATAAATTGATGCCCTCTTCCCTGTGGCAACCCTTCAGATATTGGAAGACTGCTATCGTATCTCCCCTCAGTCTTGATTTGTTAAGCTAAACATACCTAGTTCTTTTAGTTGTTTTTCATAGGATTTAGCCTCCAGTCCCCTTATCATCTTTCAGTGCTGTTAATGACAGGACATGTTGAAGGTCACTCATTCAGAGGTTTGCCATAGATTGACAGCACTTAACAGCAGCAGCCCATTTTTTACTTAGCAGCGATGGCAAAGTGAGTCACATAGAATGACAAATCAACACAAGGTCAATCAATGTACCTCAAGAGCTGGCCGGGAATTTGAGCCTAGGTTTCCCTACTCTACCAACTGAACTGCACTGCTTTCTGTTATTGTCTCATAGTTCCATTAGCCACAGGTTTGTCTTGTTTTCTAAGAAAAACCTGGCTGGATTAGAGGAATTTATCAAATCCAGTGTTCACTTTCCAACTGTGGCTAACCAGGTAGCTGCAGAAAGCCCATAAGCAGGAAGCGAAATCAATAACACTCTACAATAAACTTCTTTATCAGATAATGGGCCGTTGGTGGGCATGCCATTGTTGTTTTGGTTGCTAATTGGCCTGTGCATGTAATTTATTGATTTTTTTAACAAAAAAACAGCAGTAGAAGTCCTAAATCAAGGAACCAGTAACTCGAGGAGATGATATTATCAGTGCTGGGCTTTCTGTTTGTTCATAAGCTTCAGCAGGTCTTGGACGATACTAGTCCTTCATGCCAGACCTGCAAGAATGTTGAGAGGTTGATCAGCTGTCCGAGGTAATTTGCAGTGCTCCCTGAACCAAAGCTTTTGGACTGACTAACACTTAATCTTTTTTCCCCTCTCCTTGAAGGAAGATGTAGATTCTTTTATGAAGCAGCCAGGAAATGAGACAGCAGATACAGTGCTGAAGAAATTGGATGAACAGTATCAGAAATATAAATTTATGGAGCTTAACCTAGCCCAGAAGAAAAGAAGGTGGGTGTTTGATGTCTGCAATGTTAATTTTAGAATATCACTCCCCAATTTACTGTTTAGTTTGGTCATTTGGTTGAATTTCAGAAAGTTTGTTTTGTACCTGTGATTGCCTCAGGTAACTTCATTCCTGCTTATCATAACAGCAGAGTCCTGTAGCAGTGTTTTTGTTTAATGGTCATTTTCCTAAAACTAAAACACCTAGTTTCTAGCACCTAGTGAGTCACCTAGTGAGTCAATGGTAATGGTCAATAAAGATGGATACTCTAGTATTTCAGACCCGATATTATTAGACTTGATTCTCATCATTGTCCATGTCTGTCAGTTGTAACTGCAGTTGTGATCCAGCACCAAGATACCCATGGTGGTGAAGAGCATAGAATGATGGAGTAGGAGTCAGTCTCCGTTAAGCCATGAATACTCGCCAGGACACTAGTGAAAGTCAAATATCCCACTTACCATGAAGTCCCTATTAGGTTTCCTATAAGTCGGTTATGACTTGATGACCCATAACACACAACCCAACACTATTTGGGGACCCCAGTATTCGTTTGCAATAGCATTCTGTTTTTCCAACCAAACATTGGGGAGGGGGTTCTGTTTGTTTTTCAGTTGGTCTGCCTGTCAAGTTGCAATTCTGTTTTCCTATCACATTCCCCCCCCCCCGGCCGGTGTTTCCACTAAAAATTAGCAAACGATAGTTAAAATGAGGTAAAACTAAAACTGGATGAAACCAAATTGAGCAATAACACTGCTAAAAATTGCATAATCAGGACCCTCACAGTAAATATCAAATAGTTTTAGAAGTTTGAAATAGTGTGTCTTCATGGTATTCCTAAAGTAATTCATTACAGCTCTGAGAGGAGTGCATTCTCCAGTCTAGGAGCAACACAGGAGAAAGCCCTTCCTTCATATTTTGCTGTGTAGTTCTATCTCTGTTAGTTATGGGGTTCTTAGGAAAACCTCTCAGGAAGATCTTAATGCCTGCAAAGAAAGATGCATGGCAAGACAAGCAGTCCCTTATATAGCTAGTCCCCTAACCGTTTAGAGCCCCAAATGTTAAAGCCAAGACTTCAAATTGGGCCCAGAATAATGTGTTCTTGATACTCTGCGCCAGTCAACAGTTGAGCCACTGTAGGTTGCTGAACTCCGAGACCCTTTTCAAGGCTAGCCTTATATAGAGTGCATTGCACAGTGGAGGCGGGACATAACGGAGCCAGCTGGGGTCCACTCAGAAAAGGGCCTAGAGGGTACAACGAGCAGCACTGCACAAAGTACTTCTTGCCGCTGCCACCTATTCATTAGAGGAGATTACTACTGAATAATGTAACGGAGCTAGAGTTGAATGGATTTAGCTGTGTGGATGGTGCCCGGAATGCCTTTAGAACCTATGCCAGAGTTCGCCCAGATCTTCTGCATTCTGCATCTTTTGTTGCAGTGTTAGTTCAACATGATCCCAAATGCTTACGGTGGAATTGGAGCACAAAAGCAAAGTGCAAGCTTTTACGTGTCACAAGAATGTTCCTCTATTTTATTTAAAATACAAAGAATCCCTTTAAGAATCCCAGTATCAACCCAGAATTCCTTCCTGTTATCAAATCCAAATGCCCAGCTCTTCAAAACCACCCCGCCTTCAGTAAGAACACCTTAGCCTTACTCCCATTATTCTTCACTGTTGTGAGCTTACACTATCAGATGATTTGCAAATGACCTCTGACTTAGAACAGTTATTTGTACAGTGGGATTAGCTGTGATAACTACACAAAACATTTTCCTTTTTGAGGTAGAGTGCCCTCTACTAGCCACTACTTGGAAACAGGGTGATTTAATTGTTAGACACGTCTGAGATCTTGGTGCAGATTAAAGTCGGGGGGATTCCTGGAGGCATCTAGTCAACCACTGCTGGGAACACACTCGTTACAGTACATCTACAGTGGGAACTGTGAACCTCTAGAGATTTTTTGAAGTGTAGCTATCATGACTTCAAAGCACTGTAGCTAACGTTGAAGGATTACGGGAGAGGCAGTCCAGCAATGTTACTTTATTGTTTGAGCTGTTAAAAATATCTCTGGCTGAAAAATTTGAAAATGATTGTGGCTGGGCCATCAACAAGCCCCAGAAGGAGCAATTGCTGTTTAAGAGTTTTTTTTTAAAGCTAATGGATGGCAAGGATTCTTCCCAAATCCAGTTTCTCTTCCTTGTGGTAGTAATATAAAAAAGAGGTTCCTCGTGATTCCTAGAGGACTGTATTCCACATGAGAGAAGGTATGATCTCTGAAAAGAAGCTGCAGCGATATCTTTGTTTAAATTTGAAAAATTGGAAATCCTCTTAATATGCTAGACAGAAGGCTTTATTCACAAATATTAAGCAGGCTAGGTAATGTTGTTGTCGAAGTATAACTTTATATCTATGTTTTATTCACAGGTTAAAAAATCAAATTCCTGAAATTAAGCAGACATTAGAAATCTTAAAACACATGCAAAAGAAAAAGGTAAATAATTTTGGCTCTTGGTATTATGGATTTATAAACTTATTTGTCAAAGATGCATGAGAATGGTTGGATATAATACCCAATCTAATTTTGTAGAATAAAATTGCTCTGTGAAGAATAACTAATTCTCATACCTGTAAGTCAGCTTTCTTTGACTTGGCATCTTCCAGGGGTGTTGGGCTACAACATGCATCATCTGCAGCCAACAGGGGCAGTCTTGGCTGGCATAAAGGCAGTTGTCATCCAAAGCACTTGCTTAGAGAAGTGTACTCCGAGCTGTATGTTAGTAGATGAGTGCCATGTTCTCAGTTGATCTGTTAGTTTTGCTTCTAACTTTGTTTTTATTTTACTTTATTTTTTTGGTAGTCATTGCCGGTATAGTATTGGTAACTTCATATCTCATTGCTGTATCTGTTTTGACTTCCTTTCTTTCCCTTTTAAAGGAATCTACAAATGTAATGGAAACCAGATTTTTATTGGCAGACAATCTCTATTGTAAAGCTTCAGTTCCTCCTACAGATAAAGTTTGTCTGTGGTTGGGGGTAAGTAATTGTTGAGTAAATATACCATGTTCTAGAACAGAAAGGATTTGAATATTGAAAAAGTCACTCGTTGGAGCAGATTTTGAAAAGCCAAACCTTGAATGGGGTCCTCCAAGCAGTGGCTTGGTTGGAGAATCAGAAATGAGTCTTGAACTCTGTCTTCCTTCTCCACCCACATGCATGCTTAAGTTTCCTGTGCGATGGTGACTCCCAAAATGGGAAACCATGTTTGCCTCCCAAACCAGCAATGAGATCTGCTTCCAAAGAGGGCTCTCTTGCTCGAGAAGAGCATTGCAGCTTATGGTTTACCAGTTTGTATGCTATGGCAACCAATGGCAAATTGCAGGTGGGAGATATGGCCTGTGAGTGCAAGCCAGATCTTCCTCTGGCTTGATCCATCAGGCCATGCACTGGTAGATTTTCTGAATGGGCCCATTGTGTTGGTGGATTAAAAACATGGCGTAATGCTTTAGGAGTTGTTGTTTTACACAGTTATGCATGCTCCTGTGCAATTTGTGGTGTTCACTGAGCAAAGGAAAGGTATTGTGAACACATACTATGAATCAGTGAAGAAGTACAGAAGGAGTACAGAAAACATCCAGATGAACCTATAACAGGGATCTATGCTGCCCCTACGGCTGCATTTTAAGAAGATGCTCAGTGTACAGCTATTTCTGTTGTGTAAATGTCTTCCCACTGTTGTAAAATTAGCGTTCTGGAAAGGACAATATTGAGGCCAGTTATCAGAATCAAAAAGGAGGGCTAGGTTTGCAGACAGCATCAATATTCTGTTACTTACAATATTGAAAATTGAAAAAGATGGTTTTAGGAAATATCAAAACAATTTCTCTGGATGAGCAGCAACATCACAAGAGAAGCTTAGAGGCAAAAAGTGTAAAATGATACATATTGAGACAGTACAATCCCAGCCTCCTATATAAGCTGCCTGGGTATGAATAGGCTGCTGAAAGGGTTGCATTTAGGCATGTGTATATATGTACACACTGGTAAATTGTGAAAAGGGATGGAGAGTCCAGGGTCAGCATTGAAAGTTTATTCAGTTTAAGTTTTACTTTTAGGCCAATGTAATGCTGGAATATGATATCGATGAAGCCCAGGCTTTGCTAGAAAAAAATCTCTCCACGGCCACAAGAAACCTTGAGTCGCTAGAGGAAGATCTGGATTTTCTTAGGGATCAGTTCACAACTACAGAAGTCAGTATCCTTTTAGCGGTTCATTTGCCTGGGCTCTGGCTGTGTCTCTTTGTTTTTCTGTGCTTTGCTGAAACATTCGGAGATGGGGAGAGAAAATTCCTCTCAAAAGGTAAAAATATTTCTACCCAGCTTCTTGGCTAAGATGGGCTCCTGGGGTTCCTCGTGATTTAAATCTGCATAGAAGTCCAGTATAGTATAATCAGTGATGTGTTGATGTAGCTCCTTTCTGCCACTGTCACGTGGTGGCACAGTAAACTCTTAGGTCTTTTCCCTTCTAGGAAACAAGGCGAAAGGAAACGACAGAGAGATAGATATATGTTTCATTATGATTTCAGTGGGAAGGTTTCCCCAGAGGATTTCCAAATGTCTCATATGTATTGGGTTCTTTGACACACTTATAAACAACTCCATCCAGCTTTTGTTCCTTATGTGCATAGGCTTGCTGCTCTTCTGTGTTTGTGCTGCTTTTTGAAAGAATTAACCGTTTCCCCTGGAAAAATGAGAGCTGGATAATCCTTATCCCTAACCACAAAAGCCCTTATGTGCCCGCCTGTGAGTTGAACACGGCCACCCATCTGCATTCGTAACTCAGAAATCTTTCTTCAAAAATCTGGAGTATCAAACAGCAAGAGAGTAGTGCTTGAAAGGAAATTACCAAACAAGAAATCCTATGTGGGTTTTACTAAGATAGAAGCGAAGAAGTTGTCTGATCACGTTGATCCATTTGTAGTTAGCTGTAGAAAATGACCTTATCCAAGCAGGTACTGCTTTTTTCCCTCTTTGCAAGCCTGTTCTCTGAGAATGTGGCTAGGTAAGGCTATACAGATGGATAGGAGCTATATATGAAGCCATTTCTTGAGCTTTAAAGTGACAGTTGCAATTTTTCCTCTTATATTTCTGTTCTGTTTTTCATTGGCACCAAGCTGAAAGAAGTTTACATCAGCACTGTAAAATAATACAGCAACTCAGTAAAAATGCTCTGTTCATATCGAAGTGTTCCTAAAAGTTCATTACTGGCAGGAAAGCCGAGGTAAAAATATCTTTTAAAAATAACGCTCCCAGCATGTACCAGCATTGAGGAAAGGCTATGGACACAGCCAGCTTTCAAAACCCAAAATTCTATTTGAGAAAAACAACTCATGTCAGGACAGTTATACAGCTGTTTCTCCCTTCTAGCTTGTGGGTGAATTGCTTGTTGATAGTTTCACAAGATTAATAAAGGGCTTCATTCTCAAAGTTCCCACGTTAATGAAACTGTAGCGCTTGGTTTTGGTTTTCTGCTCACATTGCATCACCTTGCTTGCTATCCTGTGCATTTCGAACGCACTGTGTAAAAAACAATTGTATATTAAGGGATCAAACTGCCTGCGTTAACTCTGTAAAGCAGACCATAATGAAGGGACAGGAGCTGCTCTTTTCATGGTGGTGTCGCAAACAATTGTTTTCCTTAACGGCATTTCCAGATATGGCTAGAGTTTATAACTGGGATGTAAAGCGACGGAACAAGGACGACCCTTTGAAAAGCAAAGCATAGTTCAGGCAGTTTTAAAAAGCAGTTTCAATTTCCAAAGTATTTTCTTATTTTTTAAAATGGTCCCCTGGTTCCGCCTTCAAAGGACTATGTTTAATTTAACCACTTCAGTCAATTACATAACAAACAAAAAACCCACCCTAAAATGATTGTGAGCCTCACTTTATTTATTTATAAGCCTTTATTGGGTTCTGTGCATGCTTTGTGAAGTCACCATGGGTTGGGAAACGAGCCGTGGAGGATGTGGTTTTGTTGGCCTCATAGCAAAGGGTTTGTCTAACTAAGCGACATGCGTTACGGACTTTTAAGTCTCAGACATTTTGGCAGGCCACTGTGCTTTGTTAAAGGATTCACTTGTACGTTTGATGGGGGAGGCCAAAAAAATCTCAACAGGGAGAGATACGGTAGCACTAAGGGGAATATAGTTCATTGCAGTCACTCCTCTAGAAGCGTTCTCCATTGAGTTCTGTTCTGAACCATGACTGGTGTAGGCACTTCACATTCACCCACATGCTTAAGAGCGGGCAAGATTAAATCATTGAATAAACAGCACAACCTGTTAATGTGGCTATGCTCAGTTCTGTCTTTCTGTAAAAACTCTGCTCACTCATCTAAGTTTGTAAAAATGGGGGCGTCCAGAAACTTAACAGCCTGCTGTACTCAAGCATCGTGCTCGCCATCCTTTCTGTCTCGTTCCGGTGTCTTCTTGATTGCAGAGAGACTTGGTGAAACCTGCATTTAAATGTGGATGGTGTGTGAAAGAGCCTTGGCATCGGTTGTTATCAGGTGGAGCATCGTTCCCATGTTGCTTGTTATTTCGCTTTGCAAAAGGGTTGCCTTGACACTTCCTCCTTCCTTTGAAACCACCGTGCAACACCTGAGGGTCACAAGAGCAGCATAGCCGGCAATGCAGGTTTCCTTTCCGAAACAAATGTTTGTTGTGTTCTAGTCTCATGTAATAAACAACACCTGTAAAGTTTTTTGTACTTTTATTTCGTTATATTAAAGACGGTGAAACTTAAAACATTCCTGGCAGATACCTCTTGTGCCTGGTTCTTTTCAGCATGAGGGCACCTAAACTTCTAAAATGTTGCTCCCTAAGGCTTTTAGAGGTGGGACAACAGGTTTGAAATTTTTTAATGTGCTCGAAGGTGGGGATTGGTGCCAGTCTTATAGATCACACGGCCCAGTTCTGCTTAGGCTTCTTAAACAGGAGTTTTCCACATGCGGCACAGCAAACCTCCAGAGAGTTTCGGAAGCAGTTTGTGAAATGCTGTAGGGTGAACGTTTAGATAAAAGGCATCGTGCTGAGCGTATGTTTAGCTTTGGGTCCAGCTACTACATAATGTGGCTTCCATTCATTCGTTCTCCTTTATTTCAGAGAAACATCCTCCTATTTCACTGCTCATTCATGAAAAATATTCATTTACCACTTTTCTGCTCCAAAGCGATATGCACAAAGCATTATTTTAAAACGGGTCAAAAACAGTTGTGAAGGTCATTTAAAAAATGTCTTACAGGGCTTTTGAAATTCTTCATAATGTTGCCTGCCCACTGCAAACTGAAAAGGATTGGAGTCATATAACAAAGGGTGTGGAAATCCACAATCAAGATCTTCCTAATCAGTAGCTTCTGGTGAATATTTGCCATCTTAAGCTAACCCAAGAAGTAAGTCCAGAGAATGAAATGCTGCAGACCTTAAAGCTGTCGTGCCTCTCTCTCCCTTCTCAGCCACTGTGCTTGCCGAGACCCATGGGTGACATGAGCCAGGCATGTGGGAGCAACATCCACAGTGTTTTTGGTGGTGGCGTCTTTTCCTTTGGTCTGTTTTGATGGGCTTACGTACCGTAGCCATTGCTCTCTTGTCATTTGACTGATCCTAAACATGTTAGACATTTCCTACAAAGCTAACAGTATCAGGCTATGTCATTATGGGAAATTAGATAGCCATTCCTTTTTTGCATTTGTCATGAAAGCAGCTCAGGAACAACTCAGACACACACACACTGAAAACCTTTTTAAAAGGAAGACCAAGAACCTGCTGGTTCCCTTGTTCCAGCCACAGCTCAGGCCTTCTGGGTACTTGTTGTTTGGTCATTAAGTCGTGTCTGACTCTTTGTGACCCCATGGGTGCTGGTGCCAGCCAAAAGATGTCTGTTTGCTAAGAAACCTCTGGCTTTTGAAAAGTACAGAAATGGGAAACATTTGTTTTGGATTATAATTCTCAGTACAGTGGTGCCTCGCATAACGATCGCACCGTTTAATGACAGATTTGCATAACGACACTTTTTTGCGATCGCTAATGTGATCGCATTGCGATGATCTAAATGGCTGAAAATCGCATTGCGTTTCGCTTACCGATCCTCGCATTGAGATGTTTTTTTAAACAGCTGATCGGTGGCTCCAAACTGGCCACCGGGTGCACAAAATGGTTGCCTGCAGCATTTTCACACGCTGCCCTTGCTTACTGAGGCGGCGAAAATGGCGGCGCTATGGAGGATCTTCGCTCAACGGTAAGTTTCACCCCATAGGAACACGTTAAACGGACTTTAATGTGTTCCTATGGGGTTTTTCTTTCCGTTTAGTGACGATTCCAGATAGCGACGTTAATCCTGGAATGGATTAACGTTGCTATGCGGGGCACCACTGTATATGCGGGCCGCTGTGTCAACGCAGACACTAGCTAGGATATTAAATTTGCCAAGCGTTGGCCCTATTTAATAATAATAATTGTGCACTGTCACGTCAATTGTGACTTACGGTGACCCTTTCCAGTTTTCTAGGCAGAGAATACACAGAAGTGGTTTATCCTTTCCTTCTTCTACGGGTATTGTGGGTCTGTGCAGCTTTGTCCAAGGTTAGCTCCTCTGGGAGGCACGGGAGAATTGAATCTCCAAACTCTGACTTTACAGTCAAGAGACCGAAACCACTGAGCTGTCCACAGTGGTTCAATCCTTAATATCTTTAATTAAAGGTTCATAGAACTTCCGTTGGAAGGTAGGCCTGAGACTCCGGGATCGGTGGCTGAGCACGCTGAAGCCTACTGCGTTTTGGCATCAGAAAAGGTTTTCTCAGTTTTGGAAAAACACAATGAGAATTTGTACAAACGAAACCTCAGAAGAAAAATGCAACCCGTTGACAAAATATAAAGACAGACATTGGCAGCCCTTTCGGGCAGCTCATCATCTGTAAGTACTGGAATCAGCTTTGATTATGCAGTTCACAATGCACCATTTTGGAAGTAGTCAAATCTGAATGTTTTCCCTTCTGGCAACAGAATGATTTGTTTGTAATGGATTTGCACCAATAGCATCATATGGAAACTGCACAGCAATAGAGGCAAATTGATGTGGGCTTACCTCAAAAGTAAAAATGCCAGTGGATCCTGTTACAAACAGTATGTATGTTTATTATCACCCTATTCTGTATTAGGTTCTTCAACTATGGTTTCTGTATACACAGATATTAAGATGTCCAATGAAAAATGGCAGAGGAAGAAATTAAAAAACATGGACTTTTTTTTTACAAGTTTTGAATGTCACATAATCACATTAACCATTCTGCTAAATAACAAGCATAATTTTCATTCACGCACAGCTAAATACAGCAATTTTTTGTCACGTTTCATTACAGTGCATACAACAGAAAGCTAGGAAAAAGTGTACACTATAATCTTACCCTGGAGGCTCTGAAATTTTTTTACTCCAGCATGCAGACTGAGACTGTGAATTTTGTCACCAGTAAAAATTATTTTATTCATCTTGCTACAGAGCAAAATGAAAAGAAAAGCTTCCTTTTTTTTACTTTCAGCCTCCAGTTTCTGTTACAGTAGTCAAAACGGTAAAACCAGTTAAGAAAATGAGGTTTTTCATTTTACAAAGTCACACCCTTATTATTTTTTACAGGATTTCCCCCACCCCATTGCTTATTTGTATAATCTGCCTAAAAATATAAGGCAATAGAAAAAAGATTACATCACAGGTTTTGATCAAAATTATCAGTTTACTTGTAAGAACTCTATAGCTCCTATACATTGTACTTGTAATTCTAATGCATGACACAGTACAAATTAAGGACTCCAGATTGTAAGCAAATGGTTCTGTATGCATGATTTTATTTTTCTGGTGCAGGACATCATTTCGAACTGTACCTCTTACAGTAGAAAAGCAAAGAAAGGAGGAGAAAATAAATATAATCTGCACCCGAGAGATCTTGCTGCAAAGTTTTGCTGGAATATTTCATTCTGCCTCTGGGCATCCAGAGAGCGGATTACATTTTTGTAGCAGTCCTGCTAAAAGCACTGCTGACCTCCCCACTTTAAAACCTGATTTTAAAAACACTGCACAACCTTGAAACCCAGTATCCCAACCTATCCTCAGAGCTGGAGAACCACAGACAATTCCTTGATGTATTACTGAAGACGCATGGCTAAATCTCTTGCTTCAAGGTAATTCATGTGCCCTTTGCATTTTATTAAAATGCCTGCCTCCCCTTGAATAAGATTTAAAAAATGCAAAGCAAGGTTTCCTGTCACTTGTCACGTCCCCAAGAGAGAAAATAATCTGAATGGATGACTTTTTAAGTAGTAAGGGAAGGATTGAAAGTTATGCAGTGCTGATTTGCTTATTTTTAAGATGCCATCCTAAGCGCTCCCAAGGAGAAAATCCCAAGGAAGCAGCTGGACTTGCTTCTAAGTAGATATGCTTAAGATTGGCAGAATATGAAGGAGAGGAACCACAGCTTAGTGGTAGTGCCCACAAGTTTGCAAATACGGATTTAACCCTCAGCCATCTTCAGATAAAAGAATCGGGGGGAGGCCCTTCTTTAAAACCTCAGAAGGCTCACGGTGGTCTAGGCACGTTGCTGGATAAACTCGGCATATATATCCAGAGAAAGCTGCGCTTTTAAGAACGATATAGGCCAAGTTAGTTGAAATTTATCTTCCAAATTAGTAGAAATGCACTGAACTCCCAGGAATCAACTCAGGCCAATTCTGTTTGTATGATATATGTTAGCACATGTCCAGCACCTGATTAGCAAGGGTAAATTACCTTGCTGTATTCAGAACAGCAATGACGAGTCTAGCCAATTTAAGAGATAAAGCTAGAAGCTATGGTTCCGTAAGATGTTTAAACATACAGTAGAACCCCCCTTATCTGTGGGATCGGTCTCGTTTGATTCACTTATTCACGGTCTGAAAATATTAAAAGAAAAATCCTAGAAATACACATTTCTAACAATGAAGTTAACAGAATTGGCCACTAGGGGGAGCCAGATATTCAATGTATAGTATTCAGTATTATATAGTATTAAAATAGTTCTTCACACTGGTACAAACCTGATGAAGTGGTGTTTTGTGAATTGTAGGGTGTGTGTTTTTTTTAGTGATCTAGAAGAGTATCAGCTATTTTTGCATCTCTGTTTTATTAAAACTAATCCACATTTTTCAGCATGTACAAAGGGGGCTTGGAACCGATCCACCATGGATATGGGAGTCCTACTGTATCTTTCAATGCCAGGGAGAAAGACATTTAAAAACAGCAGCAGCAACAACAGCAATGGAAACCACACATGCTGGTGTTTTTAAAAAGAAGGAAGGTTACCCATATTTAACCTTAGGAATTGAATGCAAACCTCAACATTATCATTCACAAACAGGGAAAAAATAATCAGACATCCCTAGAAGGCAGTGGGCATAATGTTCAGCTTACTAGCTTTTGAATAAAAAAGTTCAGTATAGGAGTTTTTCATTACTTTGTTCCCAACTTTTCTAGTTAGCCATGTCAGATCTTGGAAAATGTAGTAGAATCTGGTTTATGCTTGGTTGTTATACATTTATGTAGATTTATCCAATCAGTTACTCAACTGAAAACTTAGTTATGGGATACTTCTGGTTTTCTTTTATTTCCCCATCTGTGGACTTCCTCATTTCTACTCCTAGACACCTTAAATTTGGGACAGAGTTTGACAGAGTGCAGTCCCAGAAAATTGCTGGATAGCGTAGATTCAGCCCAAATACTTGTGAAATGCAATACTACTAATCATTGCTAGAGTACCAGCTTAGTGGTACTTGGAGTAGGTCATGTGAAATCAATGGGCATTTGAAGGAATGGGCTGCAATCCATGAAAGTTTTCAGAAATGCATGTTACTCTTTACCCTAACCACAACATCAGAAGAAAGCTAGATCTGTTCTTGTTGCAATGGACTAGCACAGCTAATAATAAGAATAATTATGCGCTGTCAAGTCAATTCTGACGTATGACAAATGTTTTCAGGGTCTTCTAGGAGGAGAGTACTCAGAAGTGCATTACAATTCTCTTCCTCTAGGGGCAACCTTGGGACTGCAGCTGGCCCAAGGCCACCCAGGCTGGCTGTTTTCCATCTGGAAATGAAATGTAAGGTAGTCCTATTGATTTCCACATACTGTATCACTTGTACAACTTAAGTCTGGATCCAAGCCTCTGATAATATGTCTTGCTTATTTATAACAACAACAAAAAATATTATTTATTTATTTTATTTTATTTATTCTATTTATATCCCGCCTATTTGGTCATTGCAACCACTCTAGGCATATGAAACCATAAAGGTAACATTCTTATTCCATTTGTTTCCGTTGTTGCTAAAACAGATCTACATGGCTACCTTGCTGGAAACTGACACAAGGGAAGGCTCTAGATGATATGTATAACTCATTCCCTAATCTACTGTAACCAAATGTTAAAATATCCATGTAATACAAGTCTTCCTGATTAATTCTACTGGAAATTCATGATTGAGCTCTTAAGGGGTGGGGGGCTTTTTACTGCTTTTTTAAAAATCTACAAAAAAACAAAACTTGGTTTTTGACATTGTTAAATTGCACTTTGCTTTCTGCTTGAAGTCTGCAGAACCCAGATGGAACCAAAGCCCATCTCTGGAATCTGACCCCACAGCGAAAATACTGTGTGGCCATTTGCAGAATTATTTCTGTCACATGACTAAAACTAGAAAAAACAAAATTTCATCTGAGGAAGCAGTATATAATGTAGGGATTGGGTGTGTTTTTTTTTTTACTACAAATCCTATAATTCTCTACTTTGGGAGCCCTGTCAGACACCTAAATATGGCTCACTTGGAAGAAAGGCTCAACTGAAGGGCTTTGAGGCTAAGCTAGGCCTAGCTCTGCCCAAGACTGTTCCTACCCCAGTGCTTGATGGGAGTTTCCTTCCTGAACAGGAAACTAGGCCTAGCTATACTTGAAAGCCTTCCAGATAAGCCTTGTTTCAGTGTTTGTAAGGTATCTGTGCGTCACCTACAACTCCCAGAATGGGAAATTATGGGATTTGTACTCCAAGAAAAGTGAAAATCCCATTTTACACAATATACACTGTATTCTTCAACACAAAAAAAATATCCATCTTCCTACTTCAAGAAAGACCCTGGCAAGCGTCAACTGCAAAGCTAGCCACCAAGTTCATTTATAAAAATTTCTCCTAAAATGAATTTTCTTGGGCCAACTTCCTGAAATTTCTCAGCTTGCGAGAGACTCCGTAACTCCCTTTAAAATCAAGACTCTCACAGCGTTAATATACATCGCACAGCAACGGCCTGGTTGTTTTAATGAGCCTCTCCCGTTTGAAATGATACAAAAAGTGGAATTGCACCTGAAAGATACACAGATTAATCTTGGTTAGGGAAAAAAAAACAGAAAAACCCACAAAAAATCACAGAAAAACCCACAAAAAAATCTATACAATGTTAACCTCTGAATGATACAGTAGCTCCTTCCTTTCTTTCCTGCTTCCAGGTGACAAATTTAGTCCTTTGTAATCCTTCTCTTGCCCATTCCACACATACAGTGTACGTTCTTTGTGCCCACGAATGTCGCTGCACATCAAGCGAATGTCTTGATTTCTCCCCAGGTGCTGGAAGTACCTGTCTCCTTCATCTTGTCTTCTTTGTACAACTTGCGCCCTGAAAGCTAAAGGCGGATGGCTAATAGCTATCCTACGAAAAAAGACACCTTTCCTTAAATATATGTAAGTCCCATTCTGTATCCTGTCCCACGACCCTAATCCTAATCAGCCAGCCGGCCCCTCTCCCACGCTTTTCTGTCGCTTTCTCTTATCATACACCCTCTTCTGCGGCTGCACTTCTCCTTGGCTGTCAGCAAAAAAGGAATGTCACAGGCCCAGAGCTTGCTTTTCAGATTGCCGTGTCTCCTTCAAAGGATCCTCTTGAGGTCACTCTTTTTTAAAAAAACAAAGAAACATCTCTACCTTCGAGAAAACAGGGTGTGATGCTTTGTTCCCTCCCCTCCCAGCCTCGTTTGTGGTAACATCCACATTTCAAAATTACTTTAAACCACCCCAGAAATCATTGGATGTTGGTTCCCCCTCATCTCCATTAAAGCAAGAACTCTTCTACAAAGAACTGCACGGCACATGGCTGAGATTTTATGGCCAAACTCCGAATCTGGTGGCCTTTTCCGGATCGACACCACTACGGTCGTGGTTGCTCTGTAAAATTTGGCGGTATTGAAGCCAGCAATGGACTTGGTGGCAATCTGAATTTTGCCTGAGAAGGATTTATTGGGCTGCATTTTAATAGACCTCAGAAAGGAACACTTTAGCCTTTCCTCTTAAAGCAATTAGTTTATACTCTAGCAAGCAAAATATAAGGATAGACACCTTCCTGTATATATTTTTTTCCTTTCCATAATAACCAACAACTTATCATGAGTGACCACGTTACACTTTACATTTTTCTAAAATATATTTTGATAGAAGCCAATATTTTGTTGTCTTCTCTATCTCAATATGCTTTGTGTTTCCCTTCTGGGCTTTGTCTTCAGCCCAAAGCACGAAATGACAAATTTATTTAAAATAGGTCTCGTCAAGTTCTCTGATATGGACTACCCCTTACTGGATCTCTTTCTGCCTTAACCTGTCTTAAGCATGCATCTGGGTTCATTCCTACATAACAGGTTCCACAGCCCTTTGGGTTTTCATTCTTCAGAGCTCCAAAGCACCAGGTATGGGTGCTCATCATCCTACCACCGCCTTTTTTATTCCACCACACCGAGTTCATATAGCAGGGTATGTTTTGGTTAGTAAAGTTTATCATTAATTATGCCTTCCTTTGACTTAAGCCATTGATTAACACAGGCACCTCCTATCTGATTTCACCACCTCTTCAGAGGAATGCACTACATTTGGGACAAATCCACTCTTGACCCCTTCCCAGCCTTCCTGGATGGTAATTTCCCCTCTTTTCACCAGCTCATATATGTCTCGAGTCAGGTCGGTGAAGGCTTTCTCCACGTTAATGGCATCCCGGGCAGAGGTTTCAATGTACCTCATGCCGTAAGCGAGGGCCAGCTTCTCCGCCTCGTGCCGGGTGACCTGGCGCTGTGTGTCGAGGTCACATTTGTGGCCGACTAAGACAAAGACGATCTGGTAAGGCTGGACGTGCGCTTTGGTCTCCTCTAGCCATTCGTGAACATTCTGGAAGGACCTGCGGTTTGTAATGTCAAAGAGCAGCAGGCCACCGACTGAGTTCCTGTAGTAGGCTCGGGTGATGGATCTGAAAGAGAGTGACAGCCCATCAGGGGAATAAAGGGATTTTTAAATAGGTCAAAGTTGGTTTGGAACTGCCACCCATCCTGGTTTCTGTTTCTGCTGTTATTGGTTTGAAATAGCCAATTATTGCAAATTTACTCACAATTCTCACCAAAATGAAAAAAGATTTGTACAAGGAACCAGAAGGCCTCTCTGTTCAACCAGAATCTGTAGTTTTATATCTCCCTTGGACCACTAGAAATTGACCAGTAGCTCCCATAAAAGTGTACAATATACAGGTAGAGTAGTTTGATGTTCCTTTGTTATGATTCCATTATACACAAATCCTGGCATGGTGAGAAATTTACAGTCATCTGCTGATGGAGAATTCTAAGTACCTTCTCAGACCACAATTGTATGGTTTTATAGGATGAAGTCATTATCATTAAAACTGCATCAGACTGCTGTAACTATGTAGTATAGAAAGTCTAGAGACGAGGAAATAATATCAGTATTAAAATCAGCTTACAAGTGAGATAGTTAGAGACACACGCCTTTCCCAGAACATGGAAAATTCATTTTTAAAGTAAATTATGTATAGTTATAGCTTCACACACAAAAGTATTTTCTTATCAGTATAGTGTTGTTTTTTCTAAAAGTAACAGTGCCTTCTATTTATTTTTTTTAAATCCCACATAATAAAATAGTTTTTTTAAAGTATTTTGACGGGTAGCTGGAATCCTGCAAGCTGCTGGTACAAAGCAGAGCATGTGCACATCCTGCAACTACAGAAGTAACTAAAACAATTACATGACAAAAGTTACATGCTATTTTTAACTACCTTCTTGGCCTTCCCTGGTTTCATCTTTCACAAATCCTTGTTTATCTCAGTTACTGAATTCCATCCAGACTTATGCCAGCTCCCTTAAGCTGACAATGTTACCACTTATTCTTGGTGTTTGCCATCTGACAAGATCTGGAGGAGGGTCCCAACCACCACTTCAATCATCCATAAGTTTTGTTGCCTCCCCCCACCCCCAAAAAAATCTGCAAATGAGTTCTGTGTTTCTCATATCTGTTTTAGCTTCCATTAGATGGGTCCATTTGCCAAGACTTTGCTAGTCTCTCCCAAACTTTGGCTAACACTGTAGCCAACCGGTTGCTTTGGGAAGCCCACTCCGTGGGGAGTTTCCTTTGGATTGCCTGAAGAGAAACATCTGGAAATGTGTTGGCAAATCATACAGTATTTTAATTTTATTTAAAGTATTTCTGTCTTGCCTTTCTCCCCAAAAAGACCCAAGGCGGCTTACACTATTAAAACAATATTTAAAAGCTAAAAACAGTAATTATGCAAATATATTTTAAAAAAAGAATTAAACAAGTATTATATTAAAATGGTACCGAAGATCAATAGGCTGTTAGCAGTCAGAAAACATGCTGTTATCCTGGGTTTTGTCTTATCCCCCCCCCCAAGGCCTGTTTTCTGCCATTAGTTACTCATGAGTGTGTTAAGGACAAAGATGTTCTTAAGAGGCATGTGGTACAGTCCTTTCAAAGGGAGGCTGCAGACAGTGCCACCTTAAAATACACACGAAGGAGCAAACTTCTCATCTGAAATTCCTCCTGCATCAAACGTGGAAAGCCTACAAATCAGTTTGCTGGCTGTCTAATTCCCCTCTCCCTCTCCCCCCCCCTTCCCCACACTCCAGCTGCAGGGCTCATGGGCAGGCAGACATTTGACGGTAGAGAATCCAAGTCCAGAGAAAAGGGTCCATTCTTCCCCCATAATTATGAGCGCCAGCTCTTCCTTGGCCATGGACGAAGCTTCGGTCTCGACACCTCCGGGGCCGGCTCTGTCGTTGGGCCAAGTCAAGGACCTGCCAAAGAGGCTGTGTTTTGGGGGGAAGTGATCAGTGGTAAAGGTTTCATTTCTTTGCAGGGGATGGAGAAGAAGCGCTTCTGCCTCGCATCCCGAAATAACTCGGCTGGCTTTGGGTACCACCCGTCGTGAAACAGGTGTAAGTGTGGGAGAGCCCCATTCACGGTGGCAACCCCCCCCCCAAAGGCCAGCCAAGTCATTTTTCCACTAACCTGCAACGCTACAGCAATAACAACGGCAATTCATTGTGTGTCGGCCTTTGGTTGACACCCAAATGGCTCTGACACCCTCCTGGCAGGATCCGTGCAAGGCTGTCACCAGGCTGAAGCAACGGGGTCTCTGCCCCTTGGTGCCAACATTTCAAGGACACCCAAATCCAGAGGGAAATGGATCAATGAATATTGGGGAAATAAGCAGACAACCCCCCCATCTCCTATTATTTGACAGCATAAACTTTCTTCTGTGGGAGGGGGTAGGTGGGTGGGGGCCATGCTCTCCTCCTCTTTCCTTGCAGTTTGAGGGGGGGCTTGTGTTGTGCATCCAAGCAGAGTGGAGAGGAAACAGCACCCCTAGTACGGGATGCCTAAAAACCAGTTACAGCTCTGGGCCTGCGGGATGGGATGGGATCTGACTTTTTCCTGCTTTCTCCCCCCCCCCTCTTTTCAGGATGCAACCCCCAGCTCTTTCTTTCCAGGGAGGGCTGAAAGAGAGACTCCAGTGCCAGAGAGACTCTACCTGCACCCAGATCTCACCTGGAGCCTTCCTCCTTTTGCCCCAGCAGACCTGCACCTCCGTCCCCAGTAGTGGCAAGACGAGGTGTGCACGTGCACGTACACACGCACGCACACACACACAAATATACAAAGGGAGAGCTTGCATCCAGGCCCCACCGCAAGGCTCCTTCAAGAGCCCCATCGGGAATGATGGAGGAGGAAAGGAGGGTGGAGAGAGAGAGAGAGAGAGAGAGAGAGAGACAAAGCCCCGCATCCTCCCCTACCTGTCCTCTAATCCTCCCTCCTCCCCGGTGCAAAAGGCCCTCCGGAGCCTCCCCATCCCCTCCCCATCCTCCCGCCTTCCTCCTCCTCCTCCTCTTCCTCACCTGAACCTCTCCTGCCCGGCGGTGTCCCAGATCTGCAGCTTGATCCTCTTGCCCGGCTCGATCTCCACCAGGCGGGAGAAGAAATCCACCCCGACGGTGGGGTCCGAGACCTGGGCGAAGCGGCCCTCGGTGAAGCGGCGGATCAGGCAGGATTTGCCCACCGTGGAGTCCCCGATGACGATCAGGCGGAACTGGTACAGCCAGATCGCCTCCATGCCCTCCGCTCTCGCCGGCCTCGGCGGCACACCTTCGCCCCAGGATAGGGCCCGCACGCCGCCGGGGAGGCCTAGCG